ATTATTAATATTAAAAATGGAAAAAATATATGAATACAATGAATAACATAAAGATACTGATACTTATTGTTAGCAAGACAAATCAAATAAGTATTAAAGTACTTTTGAATACCTTACGCGTGTTCATACATGTAGTATAGTGGACCCGCGTGTTTTCGAGGTATGAGACATGTCTTGTTTTAACTCGCCACTCATAGAATAGTGCAAGTAATCGGTTAATCGATAGATGGTCTCACGATACGTCGCCATGAGAAGCGGAATTCGCGTCGGGCAAACGAGATTGTTACGTCGTTTCTGCTATTTCGTGCGCAGGCGGGAGGAGGCGAATGACGTGTTACGGAGGTAGTTAACGGAAGAGTCCTCAGGGCTACGTACGTACGCTCAGGCCTATTGGTCTTTCTCTCTCACGATGAGAACGGAAAAAAAGGACGGACGTCGGTGGTACAAACGCACCCGCGGTGATGATTAACAGCCGGGCCCGGCGCATATCTCCCGGGCCTGACCGGAGAGGGTAATCGATTAATACACGATATCGAGTCCGCGCGTCTCTCTCGCGGCCATTGTTTGTTGTTAATTACACTGATACATCTAATCGACAAGCGAGGATCGGCTCCGACTATGATTCGGCGATTTGACCGGTCGCGGATGCGGACCCGGGCCTCCGACCCGGTTCTCTCCGAGATGTAAATGTTCCTTTAATGCAGATATCTCGGCGTCGCTGTACCGCGACGTCGAGATACCGGGCCAACGGCGGCATTGTTTGGTAACATTGTAACATTGCACCGCTCGTTTATATCTGCGGCGGGCATCGAATCCAGCATTCTAATTAATACAAGTCGACGCGTCACGGCGACCGGTTTCATTACGGACGCGAGATATGAAGCCGAGAGTTCTCGTTATGACATTTATATGCGAATGTATACTTCGCACTAATACAACGCGCGCAAATTTAGTCATACCGTTCGTAAAACTTTATTCGTACCTAATATTTTTTTCTTAAATTAGCTCACAAGTATTATATTATCTTTAGGCGCGAAAATGAGTACTCCAGAGATTACATTGAGATTATTGACATTATTATTAATTATTTTAGTTGATGATAAATACACCGTCGATTTATATTCGTCGATTTCTCTGTATCATCAAAAGTTTTTTACGATTTGAATGCACAATTTTCACAGAAACTTATATGCTTTTATAAAAATGATTCAAAATTCATTGCTTATCTGATATTTACAGACATGATTACTATGTACTTAATAATATCAAATTTTTCTATAGTATTTAATAAACGTATTTTTACACAATTAATAGTATAATCCATTCTTTATCTTATGAAAAAGCAAAAGGATCAGTAAGTTACATGTCATGAAATTACTTTGTGAATACTAACACGTAGGCAGAATTAATACTCTTACTTATACGAGAATAATATTGATTAAATGATAACATTGGACGGAAACTTATGATACACAGAAGTCGTTGTGTACGTCGGTCAATGTTTATATCGATATATACATACATAATATACATACCATCAATAAAACTCATCGTCAGGCAGTTAAGTTTAGTGTCTGTGTAGTAGTGCTGTTGAAAACATTGTGTCAGCAGTGTGTCTTTATCGTGTTTTTAAATAATTTCGGATAAATGGCACGAAACGATTAATGATCAATCGCTGGAATGCATTGGTAAGCAAATTCTTTTTCACGTATGTTTGTTGCGTAATTATTTACCCTTCTCCCGTTGCTATTTTATTATTAATTTATCAAAATGTTGAAATTGTTTTACACATATGTCAGAATAATCCAACGCAGAACAATCTAATTAATTTTCGAGTTTTTGCGTTTGATTGTATTATGTTGTGATACTGTGCTTTTATATATACATATAAATGTCATAGATAATACTCTATAAGATGTTAAACTGGGAAAAATATTCCTGATTTGAATCATATTTTCATAAAGCGCAACGAGTTCGTTTTAGCACCCAATTTACCTCCCACCTGCTCGAGGTTAGCTGTTAAATTGCCGGTTAATTGCGCGCGCTCGCTCGCAAGAACGAGCTGCGTTTCGCCGATGGTGCGTGGCCGGGCCCCAAGTGTCGCGTTAATTGCTGAACGTTAGGCAGGCTCCTCCCTCCCGACGTATAGGTAGATGGATGGATTACTTAACACTTGTCACGCCTCGCTAATTAACATTCAGTCATCTCCCTCTCGGAAGTGCTGCCCCTGCCCCTTCGCCGCGACGATGACGACGCGACAGGTGGAAAGTCGTTTAATATTTATCGACCATCGCTCCCGACCCCGTTGGCACCTTTGGGGCCCGATACACGCACCGGCCACGGCCCCGGCCCCGACCCCGGTTCGCTGCTCAATCAGAATTCGTGATGGCGCGCGACGCTTCATGGAAAATATTAGAATACGACGCCGTGATCGCCGATTAACGACAGATAAAACGGACGGGTGCGGGTGTCTCCTCTCTTTCTCTCTTTTTTCCTCTGCGACTGTCAACGTTGCCTGGTCTTGACAGGTTCTACGGAATTCCAGATGCAGAACGTTTCGTCCCGTCGAATGTAATCTGCGCGTTCGATCGCGACCGGGTGTCGGAGATGTGTACATTGTTGAATGCATGCGTATACACGGTAACTAATGAACGCGCGCGCGCGTGTTCAATGCCGTGGCATTGCTTAGCTGACTCTAATATTGACGACGAGATTCTTGGAAGATTGTCGCAAGATATGTTTTGTTGGTTGGAATTTTTGTTGGCCGCTTATCTGGATAACGCGCATGATCGATGCAAATAAGTGTAATGAAAATTGAGTGTATTTTATTTTAGCAAATAACCGTGCGCAGATAAATGTAATATTGTCATAACTATCAAGAATTATTATTAGTCTATTAGTGAAAATACGGCGACTTCCAAGTTCCTCGTCTACTAGATCGCAAATGTTTTTTAATTCCCCTGTTAACTTAATCAAGTGCAATTTTGCTTTTAATTAAAGTATATCTTGGAAAATTACAAGAAAACTGTTTCAAATAAAATTTTTATATAATTGTAAAATGAATTTAACAATATAAAAATTTCCATATTTATAACATGCGAAATTGTGTGTAGAAAGAAATCGTATTTTCGTAAAATAATGATAGTATGGTCGCACGTTACTAAATTTGCTTGTAGAGTCGCGGAGTTAATTAACAAACTTAAACAACATTTGATACGGTCAATGCTTGAATGGTTGACAGCCTGGGAAGACCGTGTCCCATTGGCGCTAATGCCGAGGCTTAATGACTATAGAAGTCGATGTCATAATTGAGAGAAAAAAGATAATGCTGGTATATCCTATATGAAGAACGACGTTAGAAGAACGGTTATGACATAATTACGCAAATACGTCGCGCGTCGTCTTATTTCACGCATCATTCATTTACCCGATGCTTCGGCCGGAAATTAGCGGTTACACGTTAACGATTATAATCGAATATATTTAATGATAATGATGAAACAATTCAATTAGCACACCTGATAAACATCATCTGTTTATAACGATAACTAGACAGATTGTTTATACAATGAAATTAGAGGAAAGGAGTTATTTAGATCTCCGTTGAGTTTACAGAATAATTATGGAAACCGCGGATTCTCGCAAGTGGGAAGGATTTTAATGATCCTCGATCGATATGTACGCGGTATGTACGCCACTGCAACGTGATATCTAATGAGGCTATTAACACGCTCTGCGCCGTCGAAGAAACTTGGACGGGCGTGCGTTTATGACAGCCGATGACCTACCTAGCGGCTTCCATTAGAGCCGCGTACGAGCGCCTTGAGTGAGACATTTACCGGCTCCCGCCGAGCCGATCCCTCGGCTTTAGCAGGTGCCCGGCCGGCCACCGCGCCGAGGTACCATTTAAAACTTCCTCGCTTTTACGCACTGCACTGGCTGTACGCGCGACGCGTGCCTCCGGGCCCGGTCCGATCCCGGGGCCCAAGACGCGCGACGACGCTATTAGCCGGCTTGGCGCATTAGCGGGCAACGTGCGTGAGGATCGTCGTTACGTAAGTTCCCCATTACAGCGCGAATTACAAGCGACTCTCGTGGCCGCTTAGAAATCACTTACGGTGATCGGCTTACCGGCGATCATGGTGCGGGACTCGCGGATTGGATAAATTATCGCTGGGAATTTTCTATGTACGTATGCAAATTACGAGCAGGAAGGAAAAAAAGGCAGCCGGCTCGCTTGAATAGATCCGCCGTCGCGATTGCGCCGAGATTGCGTCGATTATATCGAGTATGAATCACGATCGCATTGCAATCGTCATGGATGAACGAGCTTGTCGATGTGCGTAGCGCTAACTTCTTGTGTCATTGAGCGGATGAGAATTAAAAATCAACTGCAAAATTATCCGCGGAGGCTTCCTCTATGCGACGTGACGCGTGTAATTTAATACATATTGTTTCCTTCGATGTGAATTCACTCTCGGGACTCCCGATATATATGCATGCATTCAACCTTGTTGGCTGGACAATCCTTTCGAAATGAGGTAGGAATAGAGTTATTACTCTGCCGGCAGTAAATGATAATTATTCGAAATTATGACAATTGGAAATCACGATGATAGTTCCGCGTATATCACAGCGTGTGTAATAGATCATCGAGTTTACATTTATCATGAATATTACTACCGTAAGATAAGGTAACGTTATTATGAATATTTTTTCTCTGACACTGTCTGAATAATTCCAGAACTTTATTTTAAGAAGTTTTTTTTTATATCTGTTCGAGCTTATCTTGTCTTACGTTATCATTTATCAAATGTAATTAATAATCGCGAGACTCTCTCTATGGAAATACATATTATGCGATGTTCTATCTCGATCGCAGCGGGTGCCCTTCAGTGGCCCAAAAGGCCAGCTAGTACGAACCAAATACGAATAATTAATCGCCCCACTTACGGTCGCGGAGCTATGGCTAATCGAATGCGAATGCTTTTCTGTTGCAGATTCGTGCGAACCCGTTGCGGAGCGACCTTACGGTGAGTGACTCACGATCTCAATTTCCCAGAGATTACAAGACCGTACTTACGCTACTGTAAAAATCGTCGCGGAACCTTCTATTCAGTATCTTCCGTGAAAAAAATATTCTCCCTATTACGCAGTCTGTGCGCTTCGAAACGCGTTGACTTGACTCGCCGTCTCGACTCGCGCAATTCGCTTCCATTCAGTGCCTCATTCGCCGTTGATTTCATACGGCATTGCGAAACACGATGTAACGCCGCTGGGTGCCCGTTCTCTCTCTCTCTCTCTCTCTCTCTCTCTCTTTCTCTCTCTCTCTCTCTCTTTTTCTTTCTTTCTCTCTCTTTATGCCTTTTTTACAGCGCGCACCGGCTCGATCGTGCGCCTATGCAAACACGTAAATTAGATCGAATTCTCGGAATAATTACCTCAAGCGGAAAGTGTCGGCGGTCGACTAGTTTTATATTGCAGACACACTAGACCTGGCAAAAAGCGGCTCAACTGTTCTCAATTGTAATAAGTAACATCCGTATTTTCATAAAAATAGTGAGAATAATTTCTAATTGGTAAAATAATTTTGACCAATTTCTCATACATTTACATACAAAATATAAGAATAATAAGCTAGTTTTTATAACGTCATTCGATATCGGATTAAAAATTCAATTCTTTATGGTTTTTGTATTTTTTTCACAAGCTTTAATTTTCGACTTTGCAAGATTGGCTTCGTTCTTCCTTCTCTTAGTACCTTCCTCCGTCGACACTTTCGTATTCAAGTTCAATGACGATGAATCCGACGAGCGAATCCAACGACGGTCGGAGAGATGTTTCGAAAAGCCGTCCATCTCTGGGCGTGATATCAAGTCGGGGGCTGTTAGGAGAGCATAAAAAGCCGCGTTGTGCATCCGGTCGCGTCTCCTCTATGCCAGAAGTCGTAAAATTCAGCGTTATGCGATTCGGGGCCTGTGTTTTGTCCCCCTTTCGAGATTATGATTATCCCAGCAGTGGCGGCAGCCACCGTGGCTAATATCACGCAATAAGCACGCCGGAGCCCAAGAAAGCAACGGTCTATCTCTCTCGCTCTCTCTTTCTCTTTCTCGTTCTCCTGCTCTCTTTCTCGCTCTGTCTCTCCCTTTGGCTTCGTTCGTCTTCGTCCCTCGGTCTTCTCTTCTTCTGTTTTCTTCCTCTGGTATATAATATGTGCCACCAAACCTGATGGTGTAAACGGTCATCCAGTGGAAACACGTGGATGGTCCAGGACGGAGGAAGAGAAGGCCATCAAACGAACCGCGCAGCCTTGCGAGGGCATTCTAACTTTCCTGAAGCGACTCCATCTTCACGGTCTATCGTACGTTTGAGAATACAGAGTCGCGGTAGTTGACTAGGTGTTGCGTCGTTGATGGTGGCGGAATGTCCTGAGGGTCTATTGGGTTGTTCATATCTTAAACACAAAGTATCCCATGATAACAAAACGACTTCTTCTCTTGTCTATATTATATTTATTATATACTATTTTCTCTCTTTCTCTCTCTCTCTCTCTCTCTCTCATAATAAATTTTTTTTTAAATAGGAAGGATCTTATCTTTATTAAAAATTAAAAATTATTTATAATAGAGTATTTCTAGACGAGCGGACGCCGAAGAATTCTTGTTTCGGCGAGTAGTCGAGGTGGTTGAGATTTTCGGGGGTTGCCGAATCAACAGGTTCCGGTTATGAGAGTGTAAAGCGTTTTGAATCTGACCCCTCGAGGGGCATGAATCCTTGGGCGCGAATCTCGATGTAGGAGAGAAAAAAAAGGGCGAATCTTGTCCGTGGGGGGTCGTGTCAGGCGACTGCTCTCCCGATCGGTGAAATTGCGCGCGTGTGTTACGCGCACATATGTATTAAACGTTGCGGGGGTAGTCTGCCGACCCCACGCTACGGGGGTGGCTGACAGCCGATTAGGGCAAGACGGGAGAGAAGCCGAGGGCCCCCACGGAAAACTTAAAATAACATCGCTCGATCATCCGAGTGTCTTCGCAGACAGCCGACGACGCCGTGCTTCGCCATTCAAACGTTTACCATCTCGTCATCTTCCGTTGCTTCCTGCTTTACCCTAATCTTCGCCCGCGAGTGTTCTATTTTGCGATCAACCTGTCTTCAATTAAATCGAGCTGTTTATTTACATGTTTATGATACATGTGCGATAACAACAGATCTTTCGTTAAGAGATTATATTACATAAAAGAAAATTAGTCATTTAAAATCAATCTTTTAAAGCGTATATTATTTACAAATTTACAATGAGTTCCATCAATTATCTCGTAATTTATTTATGAGACACTAGCAAAATTATAAATATATTTTTAATACTTTATGTAATTTAAATATCTTATTTATATTTTACAATTTTAAAAGATACATTTATCTATATTAGGTTTTCATTTATTCGCATATGTAAATGTGTAGACTTTGACATTATTAAACAAAAAGAATGTAAGATGAAACTTAGATTTTTCGCGTTTGAAAGATAAGAGAAAGATATCGCCGAAATATTTTTAAGTTGCTTTGACGTTAGTCAAAGAAAATTTACGAAACAGTCAGAGGTTGAGCACCTCTTCGATGCTCATTACAGAGCGTCCCGCCCCCGGCGGCGGATAATCAGGGTGTATGGGGGAGTGAGGGGGGCGGGGGCGGTGGGTGACCTCGCCCGGGGCCTTTACTCTCCTCTTCTTCGCCCTGCCACTTCCACGTCTCTTTACTCTGTTCTTCCTACCTGACGGAGTATGTCTTTCTCTCTCCTTCCTTCTCTCTATTCTCTCGTCTCTTTTCCTCTCGGTGGTATCCAAGTCCTTTCCTCTCGACGCTTTCGTCTACCAACTACCTGCGAAGGTGACGGAACAGCAGCTCAGTTTTACGAATTGCGATCCCGTCGGTACTTTACATTCGGTGTACATTGCTTTCATCTTCATCGCCTTACCTTCTATCGTTCTTCTTCGAAATTAGAGGAAATTTTATCTACGTGTACCTTACGGACTGAATTATTTTACTTAGTTTTACCTTGCATAAATGACAAACTGAAATATTTATATTAATTTCTTCTTAACAATAATAATATAATATAAATTGCAATTGTTTCTTTATATAATACTAAATATAATTCCATTATTTCCGGGAGAAACATAGAGCCTGTATAAGATGCCGTCCGGTTGTTATATACTTGTAGAACTTTTAGAAATCGTAGAATTTATGACAGAGATAAGTGATTAGCCAATCGCACCATATAGAATATTAGATAATTATCTAATAGCTTCACTTATATAATACGATCATTTATCTTAATTTTATCTTCATGTTATAAACATAAAAATTTATTATCACGAAATAGTTGTACAAATACAACACTTTTAACAGAGCAGCCGCGATATTGAGCGCCTCGATATTCCCGAGATAAGAAGATTAATCAATGGCGCGAGAGAGAAAGAGAGACACCAGCTATTTGGCTGCGAATAATAATGATTATGGGCAGGTACTCTCCACGAACAGGAAATGGCGTTGCTGAACGTCGGTGGAGGTAGAAGGTGAAGTTTTTTGATTCGTCTGCGACGACACAGCGAGCCGTGCGGTTGCCTTCCTTTTTCGTGGTTCATTATCTATGCAGAGTCCGGTGAAGAGAGCGCGGGTCAAACGGGACAGAAGGGAGGGAAGGAGAAAGGTCCGGGGTCAGGATTCACGAAGAATTGAGAGTTTCGGGACACGCCGCTGAATAATTGGAATCCAAACAGGGGACTCGGTGCTCCGTGCGGATTCTCAACCTGTGGATCCCACTATTATCCTTGGAAGAAACGTGTCCGCGTAAGGATTAATGTTACGGCACACACGATGTTTCGACGTATCTAAAAACTGGTATCGAATGGAAGTGCCTTGCAATCCGAGCCCGATCTAATTTGCAAAGAGCGCGCGCGAGAAGCGAGCAGACCCTCCGCGCAGGGGCATCTGTTACGGTTCTCGCAAGCGCGATCAAAGAAATTTCTTCCGCGAACACAGTAATTCCACTCGTAGAATACTGGTAGAGCCGCTCTCTCTCGTCTCCGCTCCGATCTTCTCAAAAACTGTACGCACGCTCCTCGAGCGCATTTCCGAGAAATTTTATATAACCAACCGTCGTTGCCTATTCACAGTACTCGTTCCCTCAGGTTGTCCAATACGCGATGTACTGATCTTTTCGCCGTTACGTATCGGAATGTGACGGTACTACGATGATGCTCGATCGCTCGTTTATCCCGTTACGAGTATTCTTTCTTTCCCTCACGAACGCATCAGCCACCGACCTATCTCAAACTCGTTCGATGGGTGTGCAAGAAAATATTGATGCCACTCGCCTTAGAGACTCCTCACGCATCCTTTTGCCTTCTCTAAAATGGTCAAGAAGGCTCAACGGACCGGGGAGGTAACGTGCGGTCAAGATTCTGCCCCGTTTAGGGATTGACGAGATTCATCGCAAATTACTGATCTTAATGACTGGCGAAACGAAGATGACTTTATACGTTAATGAACTTTATTCTGAATATGAGTTAGGAAATAAAATTTTGCTTACAGAATCACGTTTTACATTCGCGGAGATCCGTGTAAAGTTGGAGACTGCACGGTAACACGCTTCGAGACGGCCTCGCTCATAATTTCCTCGTAATTATCCCCCCTTATCTGTGCGTGCAAATTTGCATACGCGACCGCAATCAGGCACGTAGCGCGTTATTCAGTATCTCTCAGATAGCGGCGTAGGAATGCGTGAGTTTCCGGAATCTGTTAACGAGCGAATATGAGAAACGGCGTCGTCCGTGTTATCTGGACCCATCTCCAGGGCGAGCGATGTCCATTCACCTTCGTCACCTCACGTCAGAAAACGCGTTGTGACGTAGTTCGTGGGCAGCATCCCGACACCTGCAGACGATGTTGGGTCTGCCGTCACTTTGCCGCGAAAACGGTGGCGCCATTCAGGCAATCGTCCGGCCCCATTAAAGAATCCAGACGCTACTCACGT